CCCCAAAACCCCAAAACCCCAAAACCCCGAGAGACTTTTTAAGCTTAAGGTTGTAAAATATTGATAATAAATAATAATTATATATTTTTCATTATAATTTATTTTCTACTACTACAGCTAATTTATAATTATTAATAGTCTAAGAAAGATATGGCACTCAAAGGTTTTAGATAGTTTATCAGCGGTTTTGATATCTATGGTCATCAGATTAAGCTACTTTACAATGGTGAAGACACAAGAAAATCACTAGTAGGAGGAATTTTAAGTTTGATCTCGATCGGACTTATGCTTTGGTACTTTATCGTATAAATCATGGATATCGCTTAAAATAAAGCAAGTATTAAATAAGCCCAAAACCCTATAAATATTGCTTAAGCAGATATTACAATGGACAAAACTAACTTCGATCTGGTCTTCTTAATTAATACTTAGAGACCAATGAATGTGTAAGAAATCTACACATATATCGACTTCAATGTGTACTTTAAAAGTGAAGAATTCATTGTTAATGATGATGGTGAACTCGAATTAAAATCTTCAGTCAACAATTTACAGATGTATTAGTGCCCCTAAGATAGAATGTTTAACAGTACCCTTTACAGAAATTTTACAAAGGCTATTAATTTATCAAATGGACTTTTTATTTGCTTAGATAAAAATGAAAAGTTTAAACTTAAAGGTAGAGAAAATGCTATAACATTTTAGATTGACAAATGTGATTAAACTTTTCTCGATAGTTATTATCCTGGTACAAAATGTGTAATCAAAGAAAACTTACTATCTGATTTTCTTAATAATACAAAGCTCTTTACTTTCACATCCCAATAATACTTTGACTTTGATGAATTTGAAAATGATCCGATTAAAGTTAATGTCCATGTGGATAAATTTAACTTCTAATATTATAGTCAATATGAGCTTACATATGATATCTTACTAAATAAGGTCACAGGAACAGATAATAAGCTTCATGAATAATTTGAATAGTTTGATAAATCGTTCATCAGCACAAAAATAAGCCAAGCAAAAGTTCTAGATAGAAATAATAAAGGCCCCGCTTACTTCGACATAAAATTCTAAGTGTTGAATGAGTAGAATATAATAGAAAGGCAAGCTAATAACTTTGTTTAAGCCTTATCAAACGTTGGAGGTCTTGCAGGAATAATTTTTGGATTCCTAGCTATTTTAATAGCTCCTCTTTAAGAGTTTTTATTCTATTAGAGCTTGCTCAAAAAAGCTTTCCTTGTTGAAAAAAGTAAAATCTAAAAGGAGGAAGGAAATTAAGTTCATTAGAGTAGAAAAAATAGTCAAGAAAACAGACATGAAATAAAAAAAACTTTGGAAAACCCAGATTTTCATACATATTTAAGGTTGATAAGGAAACTTAATGATAGAATTCCATTTTTCTACTCTATTAAAACTGCAATTAAGTAGAAGTTCTAACAAATATTCTGTTGCAAGAAACAAAGATTCTAGCAAGAATTATTTGAGCTAGGCAAGGAACTGATTGAAAAGTAATTTGACATATCAAATATCCTTAAAGATCTAAGATCATTTAAAATGATAAATAGTGTGTTATTATCTAAGTTTTAAAGAAAACTAATCCCTAATTTCAAGAAGTATTTGCTAACCTAGAAACTTTATCATTAAAGATAAAAAGAGAGAGAAAATAAAGAGCAAAGTTAATTGTAAAGGGCTAATAAATCTGTGATAAAGTCAAGTCCAGTAACATAGCTAATGATTGAACTTTTTGGACATAATAAGAATCCATAGAATGCTTATAACTAGATAGTGATTGAAAAGATCTTTATGGGAAAGGACAAAACATAAAAAGATTTAAGCGCTTAATTATATACTGGACTTCTTAGATAATTCATCTAGCTCAATATTGATAATGAATTTGAGGAAAATAAGATCTAAGGTCCTTTAAATCAAGAAACAGTTTCATATGGAGTCGATATTTATGATGGTAGAAATGATGGAAACAGGGCGAATAAAGTAGAATAATAATTTTAACCGCAACAAATAATTCGCAAGATTACAACCAGCAGATATAACAGCGATGACGAGAAAGAAGATGAGGTAAGTGTGCTAAAAAGAGATGTGAATCCAACAATGAGAACTAAGTTAGCTCCCATAAATACATTTTAAGTAGATAAAAATGCTGTTGATAAACATTATAAATGACAATTGAAATGTCTTTAAGCTGATTGAGAAATTATTCATACTGATGCAGTAGAATGATTATTTTTCAAATTATGTTTCAAATTGCTATTATTTTTTTAAATTTCTCCGATATTTTAATCATGCATCAATGTTTTCTTAAATTTACTTAAATTTCATATGGGGTTTTGGGGTTTTGGGGTTTTGGGGTT